CTTCTTCTTTTCTTCTTCTTCTTCTTCTTCTTCTTCTTCTTTCTTCTTTTCTTCTTTTTTTTTTTTCGTTCTTCATCATCTTCTTCTTCTTCTTCTTTCTTTCTTTCTCTTCGTATCCTTCTGTTTGTTTTCTTTCTTGTCCTCTTCCTTCTGCTCTTATGCCTCCTCGATCTTCTTCTTCTTCTTCTTCTTCTTTTCTTCTTCTTCTTCTTCTTCTTCTTCTTCTTCTTCTTCTTTTTCTTCTTCTTCTTCTTCTTCTTCTTCTTCTTCTTCTTCTTCTTCTTCTTCTTCTTCTTCTTCTTCTTCTTCTTCTTCTTCTTCTTCTTCTTCTTCTTCTTCTTCTTCATCATCCTTTTCTTCTTCTTCATTCATTCATACATTATTTTATTAACTCATTCATTCACTCATTAATGCCAAACGAAGTAATTGTCAGCAAGATGCTAGGAATAGGAAATTATTTGCAGCAGAAGTAGAATTGCATGAACAGCAGCAACAATATTAATAATTAATTTGTAGCAGTAGAAGCAGAATCTTAAAAAGTAGTAGTGATAGTTATTATTGTTGTTGTTGTTGCTATTATTATTATAGTTGTAGTAGTCGTATTAGCAACAGCTGCAGCAGCAGTGTGATGGTGAAAGTGGTGTTTTCGGTGTTGCTGATGTTAGTATTAATAATATGAATACCAGTTGCCGCAGCAGCCGCAGAGGTGGTGATGGTGGTAATAGTAGTAATAGTAGCAGTAGTAGTAGCAGCTGCAGCAGAGGTAGTAGTATTATTGCGTGTGGTAGTAATATGTTTTGGTGATCGTGGCGGTGGTGGTATTAGTGGTGGTAGCAGTAGCAGTAAGAGCTTTTTTTTTTTGTATTTTTTTTAAAGACATTGTTGTTTCAGCCTTACAGCGTTAGTAGACACTTTATGATGAGTGTCGGCACCATTTTCAGACTTTGGTTTGATTACCGGCATTTTTTTTTTCCTAGGATAAACCTAGTAGTAGTGGTAGTAGTAGTAGTAGTAGTAGTAGTAGTAGTAGTAGTAGTAGTAGTAGTAGTAGTAGTAGTAGTAGTAGTAGTAGTAGTAGTAGTAGTAGTAGTAGTAGTAGTAGTAGTAGTAGTAGTAGTAGTAGTAGTAGTAGTAGTAGTAGTAGTAGTAGTAGTAGTAGTAGTAGTAGTAGTAGTAGTAGTAGTAGTAGTAGTAGTAGTAGTAGTAGTAGTAGTAGTAGTAATAGTAGTAGTAGTAGTAGTAGTAGTAGTAGTAGTAGTAGTAGTAGTAGTAGTAGTAGTAGTAGTAGTAGCAGTAGTAGTAACAGCAGCAGCAGCAGCAGGAGCAGCAGGAGCAGCAACAGCAGCTGTAGTAGTAGTAGTTGTTGTTGTGGTAGTGGTGGTAGTAGCAGTGGTAGTAGTAGCAGCAGTAGTAGCAGCAGCAGCAGTAGTAGTAGTAGTAGTAGTAGTAGTAGTAGTAGTAGTAGTAGTAGTAGCAGCAGCAGCAGCAGCAGCAGTAGTAGTAGTAGTAGTAGTAGTAGTAGTAGTAGTAGTAGTAGTAGTAGTAGTAGTAGTAGTAGTAGTAGTAGTAGTAGTAGCAGTAGCAGTACAAGAAGGCGAAGTGGTGGTGGTCGTAACTGCAGCAGCTGAATGGGTCAATTTGAAGGGGAAAACAGAATTCTGTTGACTGAATGATATTGCCACAATTTTATCATTAAAAACAAAAACAAAAATAAATCCTAGGTAACTGAAAATCAGCTGATGGGTGTAATCTCCGAAATCTTTACCAAAGCTTTAGAGTTCGTGCTTTGTGAGGCGCTTTCAACGGGTGGCTAGCTGTTCTTTAGAGAGAGACTGACCTATAATGGATAAAACCTGAATGAATTCGATCGTCTCGACTTACATTTATTTTTTCCGTAATAAAAATGGACTCATTTGTTTTCTAAGGGATATAACAAGTAAAATATTATATGCGTTTTTTTTCCACAGTTATATCCCCTGAAATTTTTTTTTTTTTTAAATACCAATAAATATGTTGCCTTTTTTTTACATTAACATCCATTAATATATTTTTTTTCCCGCTCTCATTTAATGTCAGAAAAAGGGTGCTAAAATTTTACATAGAACCTGTTCTGCTGTACGGCAGCGATTCTTAGAATGTCAGTGAACAAATTAGGAAAAATGAATTTGCAGCAGAGATGTGGTTTCGGAGACGAATGCTGTGGATACCTTGGACGGCCAGAGTAAACAACAACGATTGCTTGAAAGAAGCTAATGAAAGTAGATCTTTACATACAATAAAAAGAGACAAACACTGTTCTTCGGCCACATATTGAGAAGAGAAACATTGAAAAACATCGTGATAACTGGAAAGATCAGTGGGAAAAGGGGTAAAGGCAGACCAAGAGAGATGATGCTTGATGGGTTGAAACAATGGCATGGAGGGAAATCATCAAGAGAGCTGTTCCAGTCAACCAGGTATCGTGATCTGTGGCGACGAATGAGCACAGGACACATGATTATGATGATATATATTTATTTTGAAGAAGAAAAAAAAAGGAAAGAAAAAAAAATACGTTTTTATTTTCTCTCTGCGTGTATGATTGGCATCCAGTGATCAGCCAGCAATCATTTATTTGCAAATGCACACATGAAAATTCCAGAAACTTCATACGGCTGTATAAAATACTATATTTTGCCACCGGACAGTTAGGAAGTAAGAAATTTCCCGTTGTGAAGTCGACATTAACTTAGCTTGATACAAGTCGTCCCCTTATGAAATGCAATTTTTTGTCATTTTGAAGCCCCACTCTGGCTCTTGCCAGGGGTCCTAAATAAAGCCGGGCCATAGATATGGCCTAGCGGCTGAAAGGAGTTTCTGAGACCTCTCCATGGGTGATCCTCGCCCACATGGTGACACTTTGTGTCAGCGGGTGTGTATCGCTTGTGTGATGTCCTGGTGGGATAACATTTACTTACTTGTAAAGTTGTATTCTGGGCGAAAGACATTATCCTATAAACATGATCCATTTTCTCAGTTAACTGCTGAACTGCCGTAATCTGAATAAAACATTAATCTTTAACGTCTCGAACAAAGTCTACCTGACGCTCTAGCGTTAACCAGGATAAACTTATGTTCTAATTATGATGATTATTATCTAGTAGAAACATTCCGACTTTCAATAATCTCAAGAAACAGGTTTCTTTCACTAAGGGAAGGTAACTCTTATTCTATCTGTGATAAAACGGTCAGATTTCGGCCCATCCCCGATTTTGTCTTTTTGTTTGTTTAATCAAGGGGAGATAACAATAATTCCATCAGACGTGTAAAACGGTATAGTTTACACTTTGATACATAATGTGGAACTTGATGTACACTGTACCGTGGTAAATTTGAGACGAAGTCACTGGTGATGATGTGCTACTACTTCTTGTAGGATGATTAGCAGGAGCAGCAGCAGCAACAGTAGTAGTAGTAGTAGTAGTAGTAGTAGTAGTAGTAGTAGTAGTAGTAGTAGTAGTAGTAGTAGTAGTAGTAGTAGTAGTAGTAGTAGTAGTAGTAGTAGTAGTAGCAGCAGCAGCAGCAGCAGCAGCAGCAGCAGCAGCAGCAGCAGCAGCAGCAGCAGCAGCAGCAGCAACAGCAGTAGTAGTAGTAGAAGTAGTAGTAGTAGTGGTGGTGGTGGTGGTTGTGGTGGTAGTGGTAATAGTAGTAGTTTTAGCAGTAGTAATCGGCGCCTGTGAAGTAGTAGTGGAACTCGCTTCGTAATGCTGGGGTGCACCTTGCGTTGGTTTCGATAGTGGTTTTGAGAAGCCGACTGTCCATAAAGCAATGGCAAACTGCTGGACGTAAATTTGCCCAGAAAAACCACAAGAGCCGGGAAAAAAAACTGCAAAGATTTGTTCTGCCATTTCGTGTAAAAGATACACAACTAGCTAACTTTTAGTAGTAGCAGCAGCAGCAGCATTAGTAGTAGTAGTAGTAGTAGTAGTAGTAGTAGTAGTAGTAGTAGTAGTAGTAGTAGTAGTAGTAGTAGTAATAGTAGTAGTAGTAGTAGTAGCAGGAGCAGTATTTGTGGTACCAAATCCACCCAGCGTGCAAAGCCGATTACCAGATTACATTAGGGTACCCCACCTAGTTTGATGCTTGAATGGGCTCATGGTTGATTGCTTCCAAAAAACTAAAACTTTGAGTCACTGGGTATCAAACTGTTAGACTGCAAACCCTAGATACTTTGAAAAGAGGCAACGATTGTATCAGCAGCAGCAATAGTAGTTTGAAAATGTGTAACTTAGTAGCCGCTCTGTGTAAAATGTTGGAATTTTTAATGCAACCTCGTAAAAATCATGTCCCTGTAGGAAATGGATTGTAATGCAAACAACTTTGTAGTTTTTGTTTTGTTGAGTGGTAGGAGTAACAGTAGTATTAGGAGGGGGAAAAGATGAGGAGGAGAAGGGAATTTAACAAATTAAGAAGAGAAGTAGAAGTAGTAGTAGTAGTAGGTTTTTACCCCACTAGGACATCACACACACGATAAACACCCGATGACACAAAGAGCCAACATGTGGATGAGGATCATCGTGAAGGGGTCCCAGAAATCGCGTTCAGTCATTAGACCATATTTATGGTCGGGTTATATTGCGGCGCCTGGTAAGAGCCAGGGTGGGGCTTCAAATAACGAAAAACTGCATCTCAGAAGGAGATGTATAAATATATATATTTAGGACAAGGTGGGAGAAAAAGAACAAAAAGAAAAAAGAAAAGCACACAAAATAGATGTCGCAGCAACAGAAAACAGCAGTGACGGCAAGAATAGGAAAAACAAACTAAAACAGGTTTCTTTGAAGGAAGACAACTATGAAAGAAAGTATACCCTGCTTGCTGTTCAGTTGTACCCCAGCCACTGTGTGCTCATGTAGTGACATTCATTATTAAAATGTCGATTTTGTAATTAAATGCTGTTACTTCCCTTTGATTATTGAGCTAAAGGATAAAATCAGGGATGGGTCGAAATATTGCTATTTTTACATCAGTAGAATAAGAGTTACCCTTCCTTGAAGAGAAGAAACCTTTATAGTGTTCTTAGATTTTTCACTGTCGACCAATTTTTTGACCGGTACCATCAGTGCTGGAACTCTACCCTGGCTGCTGAAGATGAGGACGGAGAACGCATGGGAATGCCCCGAGTGCTGTGATGTCAATTCTTGACTCAACTTAACTCCAGACTGTCGTTGTATCTTGATACCTCCTCCTCCATCTGCCTCCTTGGAATCGGTTCGATGTCAGCACATGGGGATCATGACTACAAGTTGGGTCGCCAAACCAAACGGTTCGGTTCTCCAAATTTATGCATTTGGTTTGTAGGTAGGTAATGTAGGTAAGTTGTACCCCACCAGGACATCACACAGGCGATAAAAACCCAGTGACACAAAATGATACCATGCGGATGAGGATCACCCATGGAGAGGTCCCGGATACCCTGTTCAGGCGTTGGGTCTATTTAGGACCCGGGGCCACCGGCAAAAGCCAGGGTAGGGCTTTAAAATGACTAAAAATTGCATCCCAAATAAGGACAACAAAATATAAATTTGGTTTGTGATCGGTCTGGTAGAAAGAAGGGAATAAGTAGAAAAAAAATTTCATGAGACATGCGATCATGTTCCAAGTATACAACTTCAAGCAGAAATAGTTCAAGATGCAAAATAGCTCTTTGTGCACACACCATGAGACCAATTCATTGAAGAAACGCACCACCAAAACATAAATTTCTTATTCAGGGGATATAAACATGTAAAATTGTTATAATGTACATATTTTACTGGTTATGTCCCTTTGACCACAAAGCGTAAACAGCCTCCGATTGATACCATGACTAAATTTTTGTTTAATGGCATGGGTGGGTGTTTTATTTTCATAGTTGTTGTTGTAGTGGTAGTAGTAGTAGTAGTAGTAGTAGTAGTAGTAGTAGTAGTAGTAGTAGTAGTAGTAGTAGTAGTAGTAGTAGTAGTAGTAGTAGTAGTAGTAGCAGTAGTAGTAGTAGTAGTAGTAGTAGTAGTAGTAGTAGTAGTAGTAGTAGTAGCGGCAGTAGTAGTAGTAGTAGCAGCAGCAGCAGCAGTGGTGGTGGTGAAAGTAGTAGTAATGGTTGTGGTAGTGGTATTAGTAGTGGTGGTGATAGCGGAGTTGGTGATGGTGGTAGTAGTAGTTGTAATTGTGGTGGTGGTGGTGGTAGTGGTGACGGTGAATATAGTGATAGTAGTAGTAGCAAAAGTTCAACAGCCGACTGATTAGAAATAGAAGAAAGAAGAGAAGGATGAGGAAGAAGAGAAAATGAAGAAGAAGAAGAAAACCGAAAAATAAAAGAAGATCTACGCACATGCAATTCCCCCTCCCACTCCCCGAACATACATACATACACACACGTACACCCCCACCCCCCCCCCACCCCCCGCTCCCCACAGACTTACATACACACACACAGACACACACACACAGAGTGAATAATAGCAATTAAAAATCTTCACTAATAAACTAAAATCTTTATTCAAAATATGTATTTTGAAAACACCGTTCGTATTCACATCGAGGTTTGGAGAAAACCTGAGTTGTCGGTAACTTGCGAATGAGCAAATCAAATTCGTGACTGTGCCTTTTACTGGTTGAAGACAAAAAAAAGTAAAGCATGATTTTACGAAAGTGGAAACTATGGCAGCTGAAGCTGTTAGTGTGTAATTTACCATAGAGAATATCCTTAAGATTTCTATAAATAAATAAATGTAACCTATGGTGCCATTTCAATGGGTTGAAATGAATTCTGTCCGTATTCCATAGTCGTGGATTTCAAGCTGTACGATAGACATGGCCAATGAGACACCTTTTTTGGGGGGTGCCGAGTTGACCATGTATCTTAGTGCACTTGTATTCATGGCGAGGCGCAGACGCCGTCTGGAGGTGACAGGTTCAATTCCCGGCACGGTAACTATAGTTTTCGATTTTTATGTTGTCTAGTGTGTTCTTCTATCTTTCTACTTCTTTCTATGAGTGCCGTTCACAATACTTTCTGTTACTTGATTAATTTAAGATTTCTAGCATCTTGCATTCTCTGCGCTGGTCCTACCCACCATTAAACAATCTGTAGAATCGCTTCCATCTTTCTTTTTGTACTTAGCATTCGTTGGCTGCAAACCCCGTCGAAAAGTTGTGAATGTTCGTCCACTTGTGGACCCTAGCCTTGTTCCAGAACCTAAGTTTTGGCATGCACATTTATTTTACAGATCTGCCTTATTGATATGAAGACTGTTAGTTTCTCGCCTCTGAGGCTTATGCATCATGACCCTGAAAAAAACACTTCACATTAGTATACTTTTACGTCATGCTTGTAAGGGAGCAGTGGATCTGTTATCTGTTTACACTCAGGGATTCCCTCTTTCATTCTTCTAGTGTGATCTATCCAAGGGCGCCACAATTTGGGGGTTTAGGTACCTTGAGCTAAGCTGCACCCCCTCCCCAAAAGTGGGTATGAGGGGGAGGGGGAGTTGCACCCCCCTCTTTCCAGTGTTTATGAGAGCTAAGCTACACCCCCTCCTAGTGTGTATGAGAGTTAAGCTTTACCCCTTTCCCCCTCCAAGTGTGTATAAGAGCTAAGATACACCCCCAAGAGTGTATGAGAGCTAAGCTGCAACACCCCCCACCCCTAAGTGTGTATGAGAGCTAAGCTTTACCCCTCCCCCCCCCCCTGCAAATGTGTATGAGAGCTAAACTGCACCCCCAGAAGTGTTAAAAGAGCTAAGCTGCAGCCCCTTCCAAGTGTGTATTAGAGTTAAGCTGCAAGCTAAGAGTGTATGAGAGCTACGCTGCACCAAAAGGGAGTATGAGAGCTAAACTGCAAAACCCCCCCCCCCCCCCCCTAGGAAGTGTTAAAAGAGCTAAGCTGAACCCATTCCAAGTGTGTATGAGAACTTATCTGCAACCCTCCAAATGTGTATGAGAGCTAAACAAGCGCACTCCCTCCCGTCTCCATTCTCCCAAATGTCTATGAGAGCTTCGCTGCACCCCCGAGTGTGTATGACAGCTAAGCTGCAGCCCCCCCCCCCCCCCCCCCCCCCCCCCCCCCCCCCCCCCCCCCCCCCCCCCCCCCCCCCCCCCCCCCCCCCCCCCCCCCCCCCCCCCCCCCCCCCCCCCCCCACGCTGTGTATAAGAGCTAAGCTGCACCCTTAGAATTGTGCATGAGAGCTAAACTGCACTCTCTCTTGCCTCCTTCCTCCCAAGTGTGTATGACAGCTTGACTGCACACTCCCCCCCCCCCCCCCAAGTGTGTCCATTTCTCGAGTGTATCCATTTTCCTAGTGTATCCATATCCCAAGTGTATTCATTCTGCGAGTGTATCCATTTTCCGAGTTGGTACAATTCAGCAGTGAATAAAACCTGGACACCCACACAGTCACATGATTGAGAACATTCAGTTAATTATTGCGATGCACTGACATAGTTGTCCACTACAAGTATAGTTAACATACCTTCCCTTTTTTCCTAGCAATTTTGTTATATGTGTGCTGTAGGACGAAATATGGGTCCCAAACCATACCGATAGGGATGTGACTAGTAAATCCCGCTGTCTTTTAGAAAAGAACTTTGACATTTAGAACATGCTATTTTCCATATAGAAAGAAAAAGTACAAAAAATGCAATATATACGTAACGGTAATCTCCCCAGGCCCAGCCCATATACACACTAGATAACTTATGATTCGTAGTTCCTGAACCTGTCACCTTGGCATAAGGTTACGGGGGTGTTCCGCGATGCCGTTGACATCGCATGTTGAATATTTGAACACGTCAGTGCTTTTAACGCTGTAAAAACATGGAGCAACTGGCTTTATCACTATTACCCCCGGCGACCCCCCCCCCCCCCACCCCCACTCCAGAGAGAGCTGCAACCTATGTCACACGCATTCTCTTTCTCGTAAATGCAAGACAACATCTTGCAATATGTAATTCCCCATTCGGGATTTCCTTCCATCCTCCATCTTGCAATATGTAATTCCCCATACGGGATTTCCTTCCATCCTCCATCCTGCAATAGGTAATTCCCCATACGGGATTTCCTTCCATCCTTCATCCTGCAAGTGTGGTCCCAGCCAACCAGGATTTCCAAAACTAAGCACTGAATAAAAAAAAACACTGGTTACCTCGATCAAAGACCAGTGAACAGGCCTCTGTAGCGGAGTTATTTTCCCATAGCGAACATCTGGGCAACTGAAAGACAAACGTAACAATGTTATGTCTCGTATCGATTCAACGCCTAGCTACAGACCAGCCTACTTGTAAGAAACCCTGTTCCATACCTTCCAGCGTATTGTGCATATAAGGCTTGACCTATACTTTTTAGAACAATCGGTACTTGTTTGGTGATGTGGTCAACATCCCCTACCAACATGAAGAGATGCAAAATCACCCACTCACCTTCTTGCCTTTCTATCTGTCTATTTTTATTCCTACCTATCTTTCAGTCTCTCTTTCTATCTGTCTGTCTCTGTGTGTCTTTTTATCTCTCTCTATCCATCCATTCGTCCATCAATCCATCCATCCATCCATCCACCCATCTACCCATCCATCCATCCATCCATCCATCCATCCATCCATCCATCCATCCATCCATCCATCCATCCATCCATCCATTCATCCATCCATCCACCCATCGATCGATCAATCCATCCATCCATCCATACATACATACATACATACATACATACATACATACATACATACATACATACATACATACATACATACATACATACATACATACATACATACATACATACATACATACATACATACATACATACATACATACATACACATACATACATACATACATACATACATACATACATACATACATACATACATACATACATACATACATACATACATACATACATACATATACATACATACATACATACATACATACATACATACATACATAACATACATACATACATACATACATACAACATACATACATACATACATACATACATACATACATACATACATACGTACATACATACATACATACATACATACATACATACATACATACATACATACATACATACATACATACATACATACATACATACATACATACATACATACATACATACATACATACATACATACATACATACATACATACATACATACATACATACATACATACATACATACATACATACATACATACATACATACATACATACATACATACATACATACATACATACATACATACATACATACATACATACATACATACATACATACATACCTACATACATACATACATACATACATACATACATACATACATACAATACATACATACATACATACATACATACATACATACATACATACATACATACATACATACATACATACATACATACATACATACATACATACATACATACTACATACATACATACATACATACATACATACATACATACATACATACATACATACATACATACATACATACATACATACATACATACATACATACATACATACATACATACATACATACATACATACATACATACATACATACATACATACATACATACATACATACATACATACATACATACATACATATACATACATACATACTACATACATACATACATACATACATACATACATACATA